GAGAGGCCTAATTATGGTTTTCTAAACCCCTTTCAAGACATGTGAGACGTTATCTTGATCTGCGATTGTGAGAGTTTGGCAATTACAGCTTTGATGAGGATGAGACTGATTTTGATACGGCCAGAGTTGGATCCGTTGTTTGAAATTTGGCTGATGCAGAAATGAACGGAACTGTGTTTCCCCTAGGAAAATATTTGGGTCGAAGCGGGAGTAGGAGTTTTGAATCGGCAGGAATTTCGCTAAATTCCATGCCAAAATATGGGTATGATTATCTCCAACCTGGATTGTAGGTGCGAGAAAATGGATTCATTTCTGATCGTACTCACCACTGTCAAGTATTGTTATTTCCTTTTAGGATGAGGACATTCCTCTGAAAGCGGGTATGGAGACTGACAATTATGACAATCTTGATCTAGAAACATGCATTGATTGAGCTGGAGAGCTCGTTCCTTAATTTCTAAAGCTTCTACAACTTCGCCCGCACGGGAAATCGTCGCCCCATTTTCGCTTCAGAAGCATGTTTGATCTCTAAGCGAAATACACAAGACTTAGATGGGGAACAGATTGAAATTCTATCATCGCACTGTTCCATTATGCATTGTTTTTTTCAGAAAACTTCTTCAAAAAACTCCCCAGCTTCATCAGCTTTTTTTTTGCTCCTCATAAAATCCCCCGTGACACATTGATTTAAGGAAGTTTTTGCAAGCAATATCCAAGTTCCCTCATAAATTATTTGCACAGATCGCCATTTTCAAACCGTGATGAGGGACATGTTCTAATGAGGAAGATCTCTTAAAACTCGGTCAAAATACTTCCAAAAGGTTCGTCCCGCGGATAATTTAAAGTTTTGAATGTTGTTCTACAGCTTTACCGTTTTATGAATAGGAAAAAATTTCTTAAGAAAAACGGGTGACAAATTCATCCCAAGTTGAGATGCGAACTTTGTTCGGGTAGCCTGTACAAGCTTTTAGCTTTATCCTTAAGAGCAAAAATGAATAAATCTAAGCTTAATCGCATCTTCGGTTAATTCTCCTCATTTTAATCATAATACACACTCCTCAAATTCCGAAATAAAAATATCATGCGATCTTTCTGTTTCATGACCAAAGCGAATTTGGGAAGCATGTTTTAATGTATTGCGCGTCTAAGCCTCAAAATTTATTCCATTGTTTCGGGGAGCCTAATGCCACGAGGGGAATTGCATTCCTAATGTTTCGGATTAGTACATTCATGAGAACGGGCTGGATTAGGATGCATCCGATTTTCTATGATTTGGTTCAAAGCGACATAATTGATGTGTATGTATCCCTAATTCACTGCTTGCATACACCAAAATATTCTTTTTATTCTCTTTTTTTAAGCAAAAAAAACTTAGTTTTTTTTAATGAGAAGAAAAGGATTAAAGCAAAATCTTAACTAAAACAAATCAAAAACAATCCTTTCAATTAGCTTTAATTCATAGGGTTTAGCCATAACTTCACAGACCAGCTCCTAACCAGAAAACTCCTACAGTTGAAAGATAAAAGTTTTTACCCACGTAGTTAGCCAGGTAAGGATAGTGCTAGAGGGCTGACAAAGATCAATTAAGACCCTTTCTTGCGGACGCTTTACGGAAACCCCTAACAACCTTGCCTTAGCACCAACTAATTTCTGAGGAAATTAACGGTTCACTTAAGGATTTCTTGTTCCTTATTGAGCTCGAAATCACTTACGGGGCCAACGTCTAATGAGTTTTATTAGGCCTTGGGTAGTGATAGTGAGGAATTAGTGATTTTTTGGGCTAGCGAAAGGGGTGATGAAATCGCCCTCCCTTATCTTCGATTATGCGGTTTTTGCCCTTAAAAATATTTTTAAGGTGTGTGTCAAATCAGATGCTCAAATCACTTGGTGAATTCCGCTACACTATATGAATGCCAACCCTATGAATTAAAAGCAACTAAAAAGTGATGGAAAGAAAAAATCTTTTTTGTTTTATTAGGGTTAAACAATCAAACAAATGAGAAGGGGGGGATTTGTTTGAATTTATTATCTTTGTTAGTAAATGTCAAAAGTGGAAGCGTAAATTTTATTATGCGTCAACAAAAATAAAATCTTTTTTTAAGTCTAATTGTCTCTACATTGTGGAAGAATTGAGCTAAAGTTTGATTAAAACTAGAAAGCAGGACCTTACCACGAATAGCAAATCTTCAATCCTAGCCTCTCCACATCGCGGGCATCTTCAAGCTCCAAGGCCCGACGTGTTAGCGCCGGTTTCTTCACAAAAAACACACAACGTTAAAGAACCAAAAATAATTAAAACCTACTTAAGCACCTTCCCCGGCAACGGCGCCAAAAACTTGATGCGGCGATAAACTGTACCAAAAGGTTTGCAAGTGCCACAACCGTGTCAAGTTATAGTATTTAAAGATATCGATCTCCGAGAAGCGTGTTTTGTAGGAGAAAATATGAAATCGGTTTCTATATGTTGTGTTGCGCTGACACACTATGGAATGAATAAGGCTGAAATGTGATTGTGAAGAGATGATGAGAGTGAAAGTGGTGTGGTAAATAGGCTGCCAAGCGCTCGGTAAATGAGAGTGAAGCTATGAACCAATAAGATAGAGAAGGAAAAAAATTGGAATAAAAAAAATCAAGATGAAGACAAAATCCTTTAGATTAAAAGAAAATGGCAAGAAATTAAAGATGGTGCGATTCAATTATAGATATGAGTAATCTACAATTGAACCACTTCTTAGAAACCAATGGTAGTATATCTTCCTTCTATAGTGACGTTAGTGCCTAGAAGGCGCAATCAAACAAAATAAAATAAACCGACAAAGACGAAAAACCTAGAACCCCAAGAGTGGTTCTAGTCTTCAAGTGTGAATAGTGCCCGAGAAATTAAAACTGGTAACTTAGCAAAATAAATTGCAAATCTAAACTATAAAATCAAAATGCAAGAATTAAATGCGACGAAACTAAAACATCTTACTCTAGAAAGCATGGAACTAATCTAACGGCCTAAGGAGGGTTCTAGCCTCTTGAGCTATTTAACAGAAAATAAAGATCGTATTACTAAGCATTGAATAATTTAGAACTCTAACTAAATAAGCCAACTATAAAGGAGCAAATAAAGAGGAAAAGGATAGAAAATGCAATACCCTTCCAAATAATTCTCCATACTTCATCTTCATCATCATCACCATCAAACAAACGAGGAAGTAAGAGAAAAATTTAAAAGTGGAGTGAAAAATTCTTATTTTTAATTGCCAACCTAAAGTTTGACAATTTTGTGGAGGCCCTTCTCAATAAGAATAGGGCCCTCTCTCTCTCCAAAGAAGCTATTACAAATTTTTCACACCTTCTAACCCTCAACTCTCCATACCTCTTTCGCTATTTATTAGTATATCTTCATGAATATGTGATGCCATGTGGATTGTCATTGAGTGTCAGATCTTCCCATAGCACTACTCCATATCTCCACCTTGATTTATTTTGATTTCCAAAAGAGAATTAAAAAAATTGCAATATTGTAACTCTGAACGAATTTTCGGCCCAGTCTCCATATGCAAGCAAAAATAGTGCTTAGCCCACTGGTACATATTTCATCTTATTTCCAAAGGCAAAGGTACAAGCATAGCCGGGCCCACTGAGCAAGCATTTGATGTTTGCGGCCCCATCACACTCCATTTCATGCAGCAAACGAGCTCCGGTCGCTTGAGTTGATTCCGATTCATTAGGGTCAGAGCTCATTGATTTTCCAAGAAACATGCGGAAGAGCCAGACAACGTCCAACTTGAGAAGACTGCCCCAAGCCAAGTCTCCAATTGATCAACTCCCGGTCCAGTCCATCTGCATTTATATTGAACAATAACTTGGTGTCAGCTAAGTGCTAATCTTGTGCCCACAAGTTTCTGGTCAAGCTTTATTATGGCATGATAATTCCCAATTCCAAGGCAAGTACTCTCTTCGGCCCACTAATTCATTTTCGGCGCCCAAATGAGATAAGGTGAGCAGCCAGCACAACGTCGCACATATCGCCAACTCCAAATTTGATTAAATGCTAGCTCATGTTGAATCTCATCCATTGCTCGTAATCTCTTTTGCATTAAAGGTCCCAAATTCATTTCCACCTCTCTTGCCAATCAAAAGTCCATTCCCAATTCAATTATTGAATTTTTCTTACTTTTCTATATTACATCCAAGCGGCCATTGCTTGAGAGATGGGCATTTTTGGAGATTTTATTCATTCGATTAACCTGTAATTAGAAAATAAAAGCAATTATTAGTGCGTATATTTATTCATATAAAGATAAGATAGATGACGCGTATAAAACTGTAATAAAACTGGCTGATTATCACTATATATATATATACTAGTATATATTAGTATCTATTAAAATCACTGATATATATATATATAATATAGTATATATAATACTACGGTATGTATACTATATAGTATACTATATATATATATAGATATAATTTTTAAATCAAAAAGATGAAAGTAGTTATCTTAATATTCTCAACTCTCCCACCTCCTTTTCCCAAAAAAAAAACCAGCTCTGGTGTATTTATTAAGTTTACTCAAGCCTGCTCATAGTTTAAGGATGACAAATAAAACTGAAAATATAATATAAATGACACTGTGTCCCCGAAATGTACATCCTATTCCTAATACATAAGTTAACACGCTATTTTCAACTGTTCTAGAAGAAGACCCAATCAAACAGCGGCTCTGATTTGTCAATTGAAACCAATAAGAAAGATTTTTTTCCCCCTTCCTTCATCTAAAAGGCAGCGACAATTTCAACTTGCAACAACAAGGAAAACCCAAATCAAATTAAGCTAATAATGAAGTCTTAGATCTTGAAACATGACAAATAAAGCCATACGTAATCTAATCTTCATCGCTAATCAACTATTTCTTTAATTGAGAAAAAATAAAAAAAAACTCCCGCACAACAGGGCTATCTTAATTTCACAATTACATTGAACTCTATTTTCCGTATAAATTAAAACCCAAACAAATTAATATTTACAGATTACACCTCTCCAGAGGCTCTTCACTAATCAATTCTCCTTCTTCCCCTGGAAAATTTTCTGCGGCGCCGGCCGGCCACAACGATGACTTCCACAATCACCATCATCGTCGAGAGGCAGCGTCCTCTTCCTCCTCTCAACAGCTCTCCTCACGTGACAATTCAGGAACAGCGTCAGCAGGGCCGCATTGAGCACCGAATTGAACAGCCAGGCCCCCATCCCGTTGCACCCCCCTTTCCAAAAGTGGAGCGCCAGGAACCCGAGATGGCCCACCAGGTTGCAACCCATCAGCCCGAACTGGCACGCCACCACCACCGGGAAACAGTTGGGG